CCCGTGATCCAGCACTTGCCTGAGGCTCGGACTGATCTTCAGAAGAGTAACCAGATGGACGTATGCGTGGTCCCAGAAGTCCCCCGGTAGGCGCGTGTATAGGGCTTGGGAAGCGCTCAAAAAGCCACTCTGTGAAAACCTTCATCCTGCCCCCCCCCCTTCCCTTTGTGTTTCAGGGGGAGGATAAGTCATAATAATGTCTGGAGGGGGGGCAGCGGGGATCAATGGCTCTGGCGTCTCTACATCGATGGGGTGTTACCAAAGGTCTGCTGGTAAGCGTCACCCTCGCAGCCTGAGCACAGCGTGCGACGCACTGTACTGCGTCCGGTCGAGCCCTGGTACCCACTGTATTCTCAGCCGATCAGTCGTGCTTCAGCGAGAGATACCGAGGGGACTGGGGTTACGTGGCGAAGGGTGTCGGAGTGTATGTGTTGTCGTTGCAATGAAGCAACGCGAGCATGCATGCAGTTGTACACGTAGCCGTGTTCGACGGCGTATGCTGTAGCATGAAGGAGAATATGGTCGTGCGGGCGATGTTTGTATAGTAGAGCGAGCCAGGATATGGGCTATGAATAGCAGAGGTATGATGGGGGTGTGAGTAGTGTTTGTGTTTCGGGGTTGTAATGGTGCCATGTGCGTATGGTGGAGGGTGTAAGCCAGGGGTAGGAGTGTTTTTCAGAAGGAGATTTGCAGTGGTAGTCGTGTAGGTGCAGTATGGTAAGGGGGTCTGCACCCGAGTGTGTGTTATTTTGTGATAGTATGTGCTGCAGGAGGTGACTTTGTAGATGGCGGGCTTTGGTCTTAGCTCGTAGCGCGTGAGCTTAGTTTTGGTCAGGGTAGTTTCGTCTTTTTGTCTTTTCTTGCTGCGCGCGATCATGTGCAGCTGTGTGTGTTTTTTTCGTTGTTGGCGGGAAGGACTGGCTATGGAGGCGCAGGGTATCGTCGTATTCCGTTTTGTCCAATAGGCGTGGGCATTTGTTTTTTGTGTATCGTCTATGTCGTTTCGGAGTGGTGTTTTTCGTTATTGTCGTTTTCGGTAGTGCTCATTAGTACGTTTCCGCGAAAACGTGTGGCCTTTGTGTTTTGATGTGAGTGATTTTGTGTTTTCGTTATGTGTGTGCATTTCCGGTTTCGTATACGGGCAAGTGTACCCATAACTGGACTGCGATTTGTGGTTGATGTGGTGATAATGGTTGCCTGCGTCGTTTTGATTTACCAATAGGAGCTCTGAGTTCCTAGTGGATGTTTGCATTATGGCTCGTTGAGGGCTACGGAATGGGTAGTGGATTAAACCACTAAAGAGAGTAAATTTGTATATATATATACCTGCTAGTATTTATCTTGGGTATTTTTGATGATTATTCTTGATTATGAGGCTTAGTATGCCTGGGTAATTTTGTTATTATCTTTTAGTCCAGCCGAATTATGTTATATTGCGAAGGTATTGATTGTTGATATGTTTCTGGTTATCTTATCTTATATTTTTGTATTATTATATTTTGAATTATTATTACGTCCAGATTAAGGCATTGAGGAAACTCAACGCTGCTAGTGGGACCGGGCCCCTGATGACCATTACCTTACCAGTAACGAGGGGAACTTGGACCGAACAGTAGTGACAACCACCATGGCTACCGTCTTCCCCAGAACACAACGTACCCTTATTTTAGCTGTATCTGGCCATAAACATACCTTGTATACATTCATTTTTAGTGTGCGTTATGTTCGTGGGAAGACGGTAGCCATGACCCAGCCCAAGTGGAAGCGAAGTCCTGACTACAGGTAGAGAAAAAGAGCGAGAAGAGCGGACTCAGCGGAGGGAATGACGGTCAGTTAGGAGTCGCAGAGGCTATTGTTCTTTTCTTTCCTTTTTTTTTTTTTTTTTCTTTTCTTTTTTATTTGGACCATTTCTCGATTTAGGGCCTCGTTCCATACCAGTTAACAATACTTACATTGTAAGGGCACCCTTACCGGCGAAGGGTGATTAAATTACCTTAACAACGATTTTCATTCCACAGCGCACTACACTTACCCTACACTGACCCGCCCTTACATCTCAGGTGAGGGGGGGCAGGTGCCAGAAGGTCGGTTTGTCGGGCACGGACGTCCGCGAAGGCAGTACGATGGACAAGAAGTTGTCCTCCAGCTGCGGGCCCGTGGGACATCCAATTTTCGGGCCTGCGCCCAGCCTACCGGGCGCGCGACGGTGGCATCCCGCGATAAGAAGGTGCGCGCGGTGGCAAGATTTTGAATTTGAATTCCGCTGCCTGCGCAAGCCGACGTCGAGTGCAGGAAATATTTGTGCTTCTTGACGCGTTAGGAAGAAGGTCGCCATAGCCGGTGAGCCGACGCGTGAGCTGCGCGCGAAGTTCCAGTTCGGTGGGCGCTATGGAAGACGGCATCGGTGATGCACCTGGGGCGAGGAGGCTGACGCGAAGGGAGAGGTCGCTGCTAGGGACGACGTTGCTCACAGTTGCACGTCACATGCAGACGCTGAACGACGTGCGGCGGGCAAGCGGAAGACAGACGGGCAGACGGGAGGCCGCCATAGCCTAGGCTTTGATAGACGTGCACTCCTCGCCTAGCCTGTGGGATGCGTCGTTCTTGTTGTGGAATGCAATCGTGGCGGGTGTCATGCCGAGGGAGACGCCGAGGTGGTGGGTGAAAAGAACGACGGGTGGAACATGGAGGGACCTCACCATCGCCGACGATGCGAGCAAGGACTACTTCCATGACAAACTGCGGATGACGAAGACGGTGTTCAACGACATCGTCGCCGCTTGCAGTCCTTTCATTCAGCGCAGACTGACTCACTATCGGGAGCCATTGCAGCCCGACCATATCGTGGCTTACGCGTTGTACCGGTGGGCATCAGGAGAGACTTTCAAGAGCAGCACGTCGTCGTTCGGCATCGGGAGGTCATCAGGCATCAAGGCCGCTGTGGATCATGTGACAAAAGCTATACTGGTTGCGTATCCGGAGAAGATACCGTTTCCTACCGGCCGTCGTCTCCTACAGGCCGTCCGAGCATTCCGCGGCGAAGGTTTCCCTAATTGCTTGGGCGCCATCAACTGCACCCATATTTACGTCGACAAGCCTGCAAACGCGGCGTCCGAAAACTACTTCGATCGTAAGCAGCAGTTTTCAGTCGTGGCGCAGGTAGTCGTCGACCTTGACATGCGTGTCATCGACGTGTTCGTCGGTTATCCTGGATGTGTCCACGATGCCCGCGTGCTGCGGAACTCTTCACTAATTAGGCGAGCAGAGGCGGACGACATCTTCACGGCGGACCCCATCATCCTCCCGGGGGGGGGTGAGGACGACAGGATACCTGCTGGGGGATAAGGGTTACGCACCCCGCACTTGGATTGTGGTTCCATATGGAGGGTCGGAGCAGACGGGGACATCGTTCTTTTCGACATGCGGCAGAAGACAACGAGAGGGGTAGTGGAAAGAGCATTCGGGCGGCTGAAGGGGATGTGGAGGTTATTCCTTCGTCATCACAAGACGAATATGAATAACCTCCCACAGCAATTCACTGTCGTGTCTATCATCCACAATCTGCTGCTGGAGGCTGGGGTCCCGTTTGACGAGCGTCTGTTGCCTGACCGCGACTGGGAAGGAAACACTTTCCCCATAGACCTTGGCTTGCAAGATTTGTCGCAGCGAGTCTCCCAGGCCGACGCGACGGAGGCTGCCCTTGCTCTGCGCGATGCTCTGCGCATGCAAATGCGATAGTTGGTTTGCATCCCGCAAATGAGGGTTGTAGAAGGGTGGAGGTTTGCGGGTGTTTTGTGGGTGGGGGATTTCGGTCTACCCCCATTCAAGTTCACAGCGGTTAGTGCGGGTTAAGATCCCATCGTCTCATTGCAGTCCGAAGGTTCGGGCTTCGCCGTGTCGATTTGGGGCTGGGTATGGCGGGGGGGGGGGGGGGGGGGGGGGTCGTTCTGTTGTTTTTTTTTTCGCGTTCCAATTGATGAAAGCCGACTGTTATTTTCAGTTTCTGTGAACTCGATCTTCTTATCTTCTTCTCGCCTTTGTTGTTTTTGA